TATTGAAATGACCAGTACCAGATTTTATATTATTTCTTTACAGATTAATTGGTATACCCAAGAACATAAAAGAAGTAATTAACCTCTCATTTCTATACTCACATTCATAAGAGACTGCTTTTGGGTGAGAAGTGGGAAGAAAAAAATAAGATCACAGCTAAAACAAAAAGAGAAAATTTATCTCTTGTCAGTAGTCTGGCCTCACTACAAAGCAAGTGCACACAGCAGCACAAAATTAGGTTTTTTTTTAATAGAAAAACTAACAATCTTTGCTAGAAGTGCACAGCTGAATGCTCAGATTTGTGGCATCTGAACAGTCTTTCATTTAAACTAGTCTGCTTTAATTGCTTATTTTCTATCTTTTCCCATTGCAAGACAAAGATGCTATTGAGGATGCATCTCCCCAATAAGGCAATCAGAACATGAGCTTGCAATTACAGTAATATTTTGCATAAAGGCTTTCCTTATTAATCCAAAAGAGCTCTAATTCCAAGCCTCATTATTTTACTATGCTGCCATCCCAAACAGTGCAAAAACTCTTCTGGATTCTTTGTGCCTGTATGCCAAGCAGCTCAACTAGGTTTCCTCTCTTTAGATAACTTTTTTTATTCCATTTCCAAGGATAAAAAGGGACAGAATGGTAGCATCACTGAATGTCAGCAGTTCAACAACACCTGGTTCTTCATACTACCGTTCCTTTGGACTGCTGCCCATGTCAAAGATCACCACCACGTAGTTCACACATACACGATGTATGTACTATGTAGGCATCTATGTTTATAAAGCCTCCTATTAATCATTCCTATACTGCCATAAATTAACATTAAGGAGGTGATTAGAGAGTTCACAAAGGAAATAGTCCTGCTAACTTGATTACTTCTCTCAGATACTCTTTACTTAAAACGTTCCACACAGAACAAATATATATTCCATTCCACTGCATTATCACTGGGGTGAGATCCTGTTCTGAGCTGGCCCTAAAAACACTCCTCCATGCACAGGAAGGCAGATATCCTTAACTCTGGATATAGAAGCAACAGCAGCTACCACAAAAGTCTTCAAGAGCCATAACTTTAAAGAATTTTTAAGTGGTAATTTGTTGTTCTCCAGCAATCCTACACAGTTGGTGAGTGTTTGGTATATGAAAGTAGGGTTCTTTCACATCAAGAGCAGTTCACCCACCTCTTTTGAATGAGAGACAGATAGTTGTCCCTAGAGATAAAGTCCTGCCCTTAAGTTTCTATATTTCTGATAAAGTGGATGTTGATTAGCCTCTTGATCTTCAAGGGAGTCAGGAAAGAGGAGAAATAAAACTGTCTTGAAGAGCATATTTTAACTTGTGCTGCTGAGAACAGAAAGTAGGCCAGGGGAGATTTGAGAGCTACTGTCAAGTGAGACTATACAGAACAAAGCAAAATGTTACTACTGAAAAAGACTATTTGTAAAAACTTTTAGGGAAAATCTGTAGCTCAGTCTTCACGTCTTGATTCTGGAGATGTCTGTAGAAGAGGAAGAATTCATTTGTGCAAAGGGCTTGAGGGATTCCAGGATTTTTATTTGGCTGTGGAAACTTTAGACCATTAGCACGCCAAATCCCCATCAGATCAATAAAGTCTACAGTCATTATACCTGATAACTCCTACCTTCCAGGAAATAAGCATGTGAGATTTATTCTAATTGTTAACAGGCAGGTGTTCACAGCACCACAATCAACAGTAAGGGGAGCACTTAGAGATTCTTGTTGGCAGTCTCAGAGAAGGTATGAATAAAGATCAAGCACTGAATTCCTCTTGCATTCTCACACTGGCTCTGTCTAAACCCCCCTTGCTCTACCAAAAGAGAATTTGTTCCTCCATACCTTATCAACACAATGTTAATTTTTAAACAGTACCTTTCACCAGCAACTGAATTAGTTAGGAGTTTGTCAATGCATAGGAGCCAATCCAGATTAAGGCATAGAGTGAATTTAAGAGCTAACTATGCTTTACTTAACCCTTGCCTGGCTGTTCTTATTCTGCATCAAGAGAGTCCAATTCCAAAGCTCTAAAGTGACTTCTATGATTTGGAACTGGGCACATTCATCCTGGGATGAAAGTATGCACAATGGGGAAATAAAGCAGAAATAGTTAAACTGGAGTAGATTTTAAGTATATAACTCATAGAGTTTTATCTTGATTAGAGCTACTTGCAAGAGCAGAGCAATCTCTTCTTTGACACTAGGAAAAAAAGTGTAGAAACTGGTTTGTGTCAATGCAGTACATTTACACAGTGTAGCTACACCCATTCAAACACTCCTGGCACCAACAAGTTTCATATTGCCCAAGCCAGCTGGCATAAAGATGATGCATATTCCCTCAGGGTGGGATTACAGCTATGTGCGCTCTTCAGGAAAACAGGCCAGACAACTGAACTTCCTTTTCCAGGTGTGCTCGTATGCCCTTGCTCACAAGTACTGCTAAAAAATGACAAAAATGCATGAAATTGTGAAAGATACTCTTTACCTCGCTTTGAAAGCAAATGCCAACTGCAGCCTTCGGGGAAAAGGTGAAACAAGTGTTGCTGCTGCTGCAGTACATCTGTTAATTAGTCTACAAGGATTTGTGTTTATGACAAAAGTGAAAACTAACTACTGCAGCAAAAATAATACCAGCCAAACACAATTTTACTGTTTTGTTCAGTGCCATAGCAATACTTGGCATATCTGCACCAGCATAAACATGCCACTTGAGTGAGTTAGTAGGACAGAAGTCACTGAGTTCTACTAAAGGTGGTTTATGCAAAGCACTTCAGGCTTTTTTGAACCTCTGCACATTCAACTGCCACACAGTATCTCACCTGCCGCTTATATCCAGCTGTTTCAACCCAGTATTGCTCTGTAACCAGGGATACATCTAGAGATCACCACAGGTTCTCTGGGAAAGCAACTAAGTATCCTTGAAATGTAATTAGAGAATCACAAGGGGATATAATCTTACTAAGATCTTATAGTAGAACAGTATTTAGCCCTGGCGCTAACACTCTTCACCTAATAAATAAAATAAAAATTCAAATCAGCCAGAGAAATAGCTACGACAAGCACTTTCATCAAGTCCACAATGACAAATGCAAATGTCCTATTTGCTGATGTGGCACAGCACGGAAACAAGCCACCCTTTCCTGGCAGTAGCTTAAATGGGACCTTGGATATACACTCCATGTAGACAGTACTGGTGTGAATTTCACTGGAGCTACAATACACCCCTTACAGCCAGGACCTCCATGACTAAACATGAAGAGCACCTTTACTGCCAGCTACCCTGTTTTCCAGGGATAAACTGGCAAAACCTGATTACAAACACACCACCAAACTGAGGGACTAAGTAAGGATGTGACCATTTAGGTGGACATCAATGTCCCTCTCAATTCACAGAACAAAACCACAGTGAGAGTCAGATGTAGTTCTCAAAGGGACAAGAGAAAAAAGGGTCATGGATCTGAGCCACTAAAGTAGTTATATCTCTGGAGCACTGTGCAGGCAGGACCACATGCTGCAACAAACTGGTTTTGGTTTTCCACTTAAAACTGACAGGACCAAGATTATTCAAGGAAAACAAGTTCAGTATCTGCTCTCTTCTGAGGAAGGGAGGACAACTGAAGCATACAGACCAAGTGGAGAATCAAAACAAAACTGAAAAGACAGTCAGGAGGGAATGATTGGCATTTGCGTGAGGAAACTAATCGTATAATGGACAAGTGGCTGCTGAAAGCAGAGGCAGAAGAATAAAAGGGGATTTACATAGATTGAGGCAGAACTCTCAAAAAACAAGGACTCCATACCAGAATTACTATGCTTTTTTTAGAGGCCTACTAGAACATGAGAAGTGCTTAAATTTGCAGTGTGGATTTGTGATCTGACAATTTAATCATCCCAACATTTTATACAGTGTTAGACAGTATAGCATCTGAAAAAGTTGTTTGGAAAAGCACTACAGCAAAAGATGGAAATCAAATGTAAAAAAATCAGTTCCAAATGAGTTTAGAACAGGTAAAATACTAGTATTTGATTCTGAATGCTGTATGTTAATCAACCTCTACACATACACTAATGTGAACTATACTGATGTGAACCTCTGAGCATGTCACCAGGGGATCTCTTGAAGATGGAGGTCTGTGCCCAAGTCAGCACCTCTTTGCTTTAGCGCACATTGGAATTCAGATGAAGAACATTACTGCGGGGATACAATAAGGAAATCCCCACTGAAATGACAAAAAAAGTAATGGCCTCTATTACTTCCAAGCAGCTCCTGTATCTTTCATTGTCAATAAAATCTACAGCTATGTTTATACTAAGTTTTTATGTTTATTATTTTAAGAAGTTTGTAGCTGTATGTTAAATTTCCAGAGTATTTAAATCTGATTTTTATAATTTTAATAAAAATCTATTAATGTATGTTTCAGCTGAAGCAATGGAATACCTTATTTCTGCTGAGAAAACAGCAGCATGTATAAATAATGCAATTAGGTGTAACTCACAACTCATTGGTTTTTCAATTTAGTTAATAATAACAAAATTAACAGAAATTTAGTTATTGAAAAGCTAGACTTTCCCACAGCTAATACAAATACTACAATTTAAACGTATTATTATGGTATTTCAAAGTGTGAACTTCATAAACATTTGTGTTATGGTGAATGCCAATGTTGTGAAGGTATATATAAAAAGCTCAAAAATTACATAATTAGCAATATCTGCACCATTTACAGGTGCACCTACATTAAACTACAGTTTTTATTCATTTGAATTTGCACCTTTGCAAGCATTTCACTGCCTAGTCACTGTATTTACTATTTCAGAGCCTGCAAAACTGGGACTTGTGCAAACAACATTAATTAGGAAAACCAGGAATATTTTTTCAGTGAAATAAATGCAAGAGACCATCATTTTCACCTGGCCACTAGCAGGGCTCTATTTAAATAAGAAAGAGGGCCTTAATGAGGGTACTATAGTTTGAGGTCTTGGAAGGGTAGAGATTTGCTCTATAGCTGCCTGGTTAATGCCTCATCTCTACTTTACTAGACAGGGAAAAGGAGTTTATTCATGTGGTGAGAAGGGAGTTTTGATTCTCTTCTCTGAGTAACATCAAGAGGCTTGAAGTGGTAACTTAACAACTTTCCTTGGGGAATCTGTTTTGATTTTACAAGTAGTACTTCAGTTCAGGCTACTTTAAAGTACCTTTGTGAGTGTTTTGTTGGTCTTTTGTTTTGTTTAAAACCCTAAGGAACTTATTCTAATGACAGTGGAGAGTGCTAGGAGAACCAGGGAACTGATTTTTTTTTTTTCTTTCTTTGTACGCAGCTAAATATTTCTCTGTAGAAATTAAGCTTTAAGGTCAGTGTTACACTAATATAATGCAGTTCCCTTTGAAGAAATTATAGGGGGAAGCACATGAAACAACTCTTTCCTGGAGCTGTTAAAATACTGCATTTTTATGGCAACAGTGTCACTGTAATGGTTCCTTGTGGATTAATGAGGGTGCCATAAATGAACAGCTCAAACTTCATTGGCTTCTCTTCCTCCTTCTGGAAAAGGTATTCTAAAATTAACATGTGTTCGTTCTGCAAGGCTGCATGGGATTCTCAGCCAATGATTTCCTATGTCTGGCTCATAACGGGAGCTGCAGGAGAATAGTCTCTAACAGCACTTACTGCATGGTCAGTATTTGTGACTGCCTGGTGACTGGACAAGTCACACAGCACAGTAATGCTAAAGACCCCTTGTAAAGAACAAGCAGAAGAAAAGATGATTACCATACCAAAATCATCTTAAATGCATTTACTCTTATTTTAAAGAAGATATGCGACCACAGACTTAGCAATGTGATGCTTAAATGCTCAAATAATAATATTAAGCTAGGATTTTAGAATTGGTGCTGCAAGGGTAATTAAGCATGGTAATGTGAGAAGCCCCCTCGGGTGAGTTGCAGCTGAATGTTGGAGAAGACAGTGTGAGAGTGTCCTGAGAACAAGCTCATCTGATTTAAACAGAGGCTATGGGCATGACACAGTTGGACTGGACTGCTGTTCACAGCCCTCTCCAGCTGCTTGTTACTTTCTCCCTCAAATCTAACAGCTGAGCTGTTTGTAAAACTGCTAACCTGATCTACTTGATCATCACAGGTCACTGCTCCTTAACCTTAAGTGGTTCAAGCTAGTATGGCTCATTCTGAGGGAAACGGGAGGTTTCATTGAAGTATAGAATAATTAGGGTTGGAAAGGACCTTAAGATCATCAAGTTCCAACCCCCTGCCACGGGCAGGGACACCTTACGCTAAATCATATTACCCAAGGCCTCATCCAACCTGGTCTTGAACACTGCCAGGGATGGAGCATTCACAACCTCCCTGGGCAACCTGTTACAGTGCCTCACCACCCTAACAGGAAAGAATTTCCTCCTTATATCCAATCTAAACTTCCCCTGTTTAAGTTTTAACCCATTACCCCTTGTCCTATCACTACAGTCTCTAATGAAGAGTTCCTCTCCAGCAGCCCTATAGCTCCCCTTCAGATACTGGAAGGCTGCTATGAGGTCTCCATGCAGCCTTCTCTTCTCAAGGCTGAACAGCCCCAACTTCCTCAGCCTGTCTTCATACGGGAGGTGCTCCAGTCCCCTGATCATCCTCATGGCCCTTCTCTGGACTTGTTCCAACAGTTTCATGTCCTTTTTATGTTGAGGACACCAGAACTGCACACAATACTCCAGGTGAGGTCTCACAAGAGCAGAGTAGAGGGGCATGATCACCTCCTTCAACCTGCTGGTCACACTCCTTTTGATGCAGCCCAGGATAGGGTTGGCTTTCTGGGCTGCAAGCGCACACTGCCAACCCATGTTCATTTTCTCATCCACCAACACCCCCAAGCCCTTCTCCATAGGACTGCTCTGAATCTCTTCTCTGCTCAACCTGCAGCTGTGCCTGGGATTGCTCCGACCCAGGTGCAGGACCTTGCACTTGGCATGGTTAAACTTCATGAGGCTGGCATCAGCCCACCTCACAAGCGTGTCAAGGTCCCTCTGGATGGCATTCCTTCCCTCCAGCGTATCAACCGAACCACACAGCTTGGTGTCATCGGCAAACTTGCTGAGGGTGCACTCAATCCCACTGTCCATGTCAGTGGCAAAGATTTTGAGCAAGACCGGTCCCTACACCGATCCCTGAGGGACACCACTCGTTACTGGTCTCCAGATGGACATTGAGCCATTGACCACAACTCTTTGTGTGCGGCCATCCAGCCAGTTCTTTATCCACCGAGTGGTCCATCCATCAAGTTGATATCTCTCCAATTTAAAGACAAGGATGTCGTGTGGGACAGTGTCGAACGCTTTACACAAGTCCAGGTAGATGACATCAACTGCTCTACCCCTGGCCATCAGTTCTGTAGCCCCATCATAGAAGGCCACCAAATTGGTCAGGCAGGATTTCCCCTTAGTGAAGCCATGCTGGCTGTCACCAAGCACCTTGCTGTTTTTCATGTGCCTTAGCATGCCTTCCAGGAGAATCTGCTCCAAGATTTTGCCAGGCACAGAGGTGAAACTGACTGGTCTGTAATTCCTCAGGTCATCCATTCTCCCCTTCTTGAAAATGGGGGTTATATTTCCCTTTTTCCAGTCGTCGGGAACTTCCCCTGACTGCCATGATTTCTCAAATATGATGGCCAGCAGCTTCGCAACTTCATTTGCCAGCTCCTTCAGGACCCGCGGATGGATCTCATCAGGACCCATGGACTTGTGCACATTCAGATTTTTAAGATGGTCTCGAACCAGATCCTCTCCTACAGTGGGCACAAGGTCTTCATTCTCACAGTCCCTGCATCTGCCTTCCAAGACTTGGGTGGTGCAGTCAGAGCCTTTGGCAGTGAAGACTGAGGCAAAGAAGTCATTCAGAACCTCAGCCTTCTCCAAATCCTGTGTAGCCAGTTCTCCTGAGAGCTTCCTGAGGGGGTGTCGTGGTTTAAACCCAGTCAGGTAATTCGTTCGCTCACTTCCCCCCCTTTTCTTGCCCTCCCCCTGCTCTCGGAGGGACGGAGAGGAAAATCGAAAAGAATGCTCCCACAGGTTGAGATAAGAACAGTTTAGTAACTAAGGTATAACACAAATCACTACTGCTACCACCAATGATAATAATGATACAGGAAATAACAAGGGAAGAGAATACATCATCTCACCACCAGCCGACCGATAACTCGCCCCCCCAAGCCCGACCAAGCTCTGACCGATACCTCCTCCAACCCTGCAGTCCCCCAGCCCTTCCGGCTAACTCCCAGTTACATCCTGGGCATGACGTGCTGTGGTATGGAATACCTCTTTGGTCAGTTTGGGTCAGGTGTCCTGTCTCTGCTTCCTCCTGGCTTCCCCTCCTCCCTGGCAGAGCATGAGGCTCACAGAGTCCTTGGTCAGGGTAAACATCACTTAGCAACAACCGAGAACATCGGCTTCACCAACACTGTTCTCAAACTGGAAGTCAAAACACAGCACTGTACCAGTTAACACAAAGGAAAAACATGACTGCTACTGCGGAACCCAGGACAGGGGGCCTACATTCTCCCTAGTCTGTTTTTTATTTGCTACATACCTGTAGAATCCCTTCCTGTTATCTTTAATACCTCCAGCTAAGTTTAATTCTAACTGGGCCTTAGCTTTCCTAACCTGGTCCCTAGCTTCCTGGACAACATCCCTGTACTCTTCCCATGCCACCTGTCCTTGCTTCCACTTATTATAAGCCTCTTTTTTCATTTGAATTTTCCTCAGGAGCTCCTCATCCATCCAAGCAGGTCTCCTGGCCCTCCTGCTGCACTTCCTTCTGGTTGGGATGCAACACTCCTGAGCTTGTAGCAGGTGAACCTTGAATATCAACCAACAGCCTTGGGCCCCCCTGCCCTCTAGGGCTGTATCCCATGGAACCTTACTAAGCAGGTTCCTGAAGAGGCCAAAGTCTGCTCTCCTGAAGTCCAGGGCAGTGAGCTTGCTGCATGCTCTTCTCACTGTCCTGAGGATCTCAAATTCGAGCATCTCATGATCGCTGCATCCAAGGCTGCCCTGGAGAGTCACATTTCCAACGAGCCCTTCCCTGTTGGTGAGCACAAGGTCAGGCATGGCACCTCTCCTTGTAGGCTCCTCTATTACTTGCAGAAGGAAGTTGTCTTCTACACAATTGAGGAACCTCCTGGATTGCTTGTGCTGGGCCGTACCATCCTTCCAACAGATGTCAGTTTGCAGTGCTCATTTGAGCAGCTCAGCTAGTAAATCTGAAAATGAGGTTGTTTCAGTGGTATGGACAAGAAAGTAACTTTACCAGAATGAAGTCAAATAGCTAAGCATTCTAACGCACTAGAGTCTACCTTAAAGACTTTATAATTGGAAGTCAAATACCTATCTCCAGAAGATCCTTCTGCATTAAAGGTTAGTATGCATTTCTCGGTGTGCAATCTCCAGATGGGTCTGTTCCACCCTGTAGTGGAGCTACACTAATGGGGACAGTGGTGATTCTACCCTCTCTGCAAACCTCTTCCTTCAAAATGAATTGGGGGTGTTGCAGAACTGCCTTTAAGTACAAAGCTTGCAGCAGCAGTCCATGCCAACAAATGTATGGAAAATAGTTTGTCTTTAGTAAGGGTCTCTAAGATTTTTCCTATACACAGAAATAATTTTTAGTTAAAGCAATACAAATAGCCACTTTTTCACTGTCTCCTAAAAAAAAGAGTTTCATTTGACTTTCCAAACAGAAGTGACTTGATGGTAACTCTCTGCTTGCCCAGCAGACTGTCCCTGATTACAAATTCTGGCTTTTTGGATCTTTGCCTTTTGGAAGGGCTGAGATCAAGTCATCTGAAGTGAGGAGGAAAGAGGCATGAGGGCAGGCAATCTGCTTATGTGGGGTATACATTCATTGGTGACTACAGTGTAAGATCCTCCCAATTTTCTTGATACAATAATTAGGAAAAGATGGATAAAATCAGTGGTCCCAAGAACCAGATGAGCTTCTGACTTGCCACAGAGCAGATGAAATTTATGTAAACAGTGTAGCATATAGACTGACCCATATAAATACTCCTCTATAGAATTACTAAGAAGTAAAATTCCCTGCACCCTCATTTTCTCTAATGGAAGGCCATACTGCTCCTAGTTAGGCAGGCAAACCTCTCAATACATGAGTGGATGAATTTAACATGATGCTTTTGTGCACTGTTATCCCAAAGGCTGACTGAAAATAAAAAAAAATATTTTTCTTGCTTTTTACCTAAGCCTGCCATTCTTCCAGAAGGATGCTGCCTGATATTCTAGTTATGAACATAATCAACTCAAAAGTTCACTCGTGGCTGAATTAATCTGATACTGTTTCCCTTAAGTCTCTCTTCTATACTTAACATTTCTGTCAGAGGGAGAACCCTGTTCAGGAGAAATCTGACAATGGACTCTCAAGTTCGTAATTGCAACTGAAAATCCTGGCTGTCAATTAGGACTTAGCAATATGCAGCTGAGAAGTGGTTTCCACTGTTTACACGAAACTCAGTTAATGTCATGTGTTTTCTGGACAGAGCCTCCTAAGAGTTTACAGTATGTGCTTGGACAAGATATCAAATGAAATGGCTTTGGAAACTTTATACTAAGGCCCAATAAGTGTTACCTCAAAAACCTCATCTGTTCTTAACACTGATCTGAGAGTGATGCTACCCAGATGCCAAAGCTCTTCTTTCTATGGGTGCTCCTGATGCAGGCCCAGAATAGAAAAGCAGCCCTGAGAATGGTGGTATGGGGTTTCTTTTGTTTTCAGTGCTCACTACTGTAGTTTCTTTCACATCAAATGTAAATACATGATCTGCTCCTTAAGATGTGTGAGCAACAAAGTCACCTTTCATGTGCTTACAGAACTAACTTGTGATAAATCCTGCTATACTAGTATGCAGAAAAAGACAAAATCAATATTGCCAGGTGGACCTTAATAAATCATGGTATGTTCTGCTTACTGGTCTGTATCTGGGAACCTGGCATAACTTGTACTTCTATACAAACTTTGGCTATCTAGATGTAAGCAAAGCATTGGTTTATCTTTAATGGAGCGTCTGCACTCTAATTTGAAGCTGCCTTAATTTCCCAGATTAAAGATGGGGAAATAGAAGAGGTTTATACTGCATAAATTGTGGAAGTCAAAGGCAGAAGTCAGAGTACAGTGGCCTGCTATCTTGTAAAATTTTGACTCATCATACTTTCTGGATCAACTCAATTTCAGGGATAAACATGGAAGAGCAAGCTGAATCAGCTTGCATGCTGAGACTGCTTTAGCTAACAGAATATTGTTTTTGCAGAGACACAAGAGACACATCAGATGTCTGTATAAGAAAAAAATACTATTCAGAACAGTATCTGAGTTTTTTTAGATGCCTCCTCAGCTTGCCTACATCTGTGTAAACTTAGCCTTTTCCTACATGTTGGCTGTGAAGGTACATGGTGGGGAAGAAGCTCTGTCAATTATCACTTGATGGATTAAGTTACTATGTTCTGCTGTGTGGAAACTCAAATTGTCACAATAGCTGAGGCATAAGGCACAAATGTCTTCCAAGGATTCAAAGAGTAACTTGCATTATCTTAATATGTTATAAAGGAAATAAAGGGAAATAATTTTGCTAATGATAACTGCATTATTTTAGGTACCTTATTAGGTCAGCACTAAGCAAGCAATTAAAAATACTGAAACCATAATTCTAGTGAAATGCTGGATGGGTAAGCCTTGGAGAGATGAAAGGATAAGTCTTAGAATAAAACTCTAACCACAAGGTGCTAAGGTAATACTGCTGACTAAAATGAAACCCAGAACTTCAATGTGAACTTACACTTTTAAATCAGTGTTAGATGTATTTTCTACAGCACCTGGCAGCTCACTTGTTTCCTCTGATGGTGGAGTCCTTGACTCCCCTTTCACTGCCAAGGGCACACAGCACCATTTCCAACACTGCCAGGGGACTACATTAAACTTAAAATGCAGAAAACTGACTGTAGCTCATTCAGTCATATATATATATATCTCATATATATTATTCATATATATGATGCAAATCACTGTTTAATCATAATTAAATACTTAAACTTTTTTCAATTAAAGTTCACAAGTAGAGGACATGAAATTTTTAATTCTCACTGAAGAACCAGGCAGGTAAAACCTAACCTGGTAAAATTGTTCCTGTTTTGTTTGCAGGTTTATGGCTTGTGACTTACGCGTAAGAGAATTGATGAGTCTCTTTGGCATACTAGACCTATATAGATTATCATGTATTGCAGAATTTCCATCAATGCTAGAAACGCTGATACAGTAAAGGCACCTTGACCACAGTGACACTTACTTAACTACCCAGTACAACCTGGCTAAAGCTTCTATGTGAAACTCTGGCTGCTTTGAAACAAAGACTTCTTGATACTGCCAGGGTGGGAACCTATTCTACAGTCAGACTAACTGGGAATGTGGACAACTCTCACTTGTAACCCTAAGGTTTGTAGACAGAAAAATGGTAAAGTTCAAGAACAAAAGACCATTCCTTTTCATATGATATAATAAGGAACTATATGCATTAGCTGGAAGAACATTACAGTTTTTAGAAACCAGAAAGATGGATAAGGGAGTGCAAACTCATGTTTTCTAGAGTGTTTTAAAAGTGCATTGGCTCTCTACAGAGTATACTGCTCAGCTTCTGGGCTGCCCAGTTCCCACTTTTAGCTGGACAGTGTCTCCTTTTAACCCATTAATTTGACGATTCATATTTCTATTCCATCATGAGAAGTCTAAACAAATTGAAATCTGAGGAAACCTTAAAACAAGGGGGATTTTTTCTTTTTTTTTTTTTTAAAGCCAATTAAAGCTGCAACCTTGTTAGTTTTGTAGATGCTGCAACAGATAAGTATTTTAAGTAAATAAGCAGCTAAAGACATAATGGACTAACAAACTGGAAACTCAATTTGATGGAGCTTCCATTTGGATTTCTCAGCTTTTGATTGCTACATCAAACTAGTTCAAAACTTCTGTGGCTGTTCTTAGGAACTGATATGCAAGATTGCCATCGGCTACACTTTCTGTTTGTACAGGAGAAAACAGGTAGAAGGTGGAAGTAGAAGTCTGTCTGCAGATTAAGATAAAATTCAGAGAAGTTCTTAATGGTTCCTGGAATATTTACACTACAGCTCTATCCATCTTTCTAAGCGGTTAATGCTTTGCTAGAATTATTTCCTAGACAGAAAACCAGTGGTGAGGATTGGAAGAAACTCTGGGAGCTAGGAAGATGTTGCACAGAGAACTTTGAGGACTCCACAAAGTAGGACAGCTTTTAACATAAAGTTTTGCCTACAAATATTGGAGTGCCTGAGCTACAGGCATTTGTTTATACCAACTACAAATACTAATTTCATAACTCCTAATTACTGTGACCTATAGTTAATGTCTCTTCATGCTAATGTTCATCATATTAATTTGTTTTGGGAGACTTCTGAAGTACAGTAAGATATACTGCATAGTCTTAAATGGAAGTCCATTATCCTAAACTTATAAATATCCATAAGGCAATTAACGCTATGAAGATCCAATTCTGATGAGCCTCCTCTGTACTAAAGCAAATAAAACAAGTGATACCTTGTTTGAATTGTAAGATTTAAAGTGGAAAACAGATGTGCTTACTCATATGTTAAGAGGTGAGACTTAGCACCTTAACTATGCTATGAGACCCAACTGACTTGTTTGGGTTTTCTCTTCCTTGCTGTTCTGGCTGAAACATTACAGGAGGAGCTGCATAAAGAAGCTAAACTGTTGTCCCTCAAGCTGGATGTGAATCTGCTGTTGCAAACTATGACTATATTTCTAATCTACAGCATGTATGCTATGTAAGAAATCAAAGCATGTATGCTTCCAAATGCTGGCAAACCAAAGAGGGTAACTGTCTGCAGTGTCCTCATTCTAGTGAACATAGTTCATTAAAAAAAACCTAAAACTATGCTAGCCCATATTGGAACAAAGATAATAGTGAACATAGTTCATTAAAAAAAGCCTAAAACTATGCTAGTTCATATTGGAACAAAGATAAACAGGCAACCCACAAATTATCAAGGGGGATGGTGGGAGAACCCATCAAGAAAACCCCACTGAATTTTGACTGTTAGGGAAATGTGTTACCAGTGCTACTTTTACCTGAAAAAGGATGCAAAATACATTTAATAGTACACACTAACTGTAAAGATAATGACAGAATGAAGCCTGAAGAATGTCTTGAAAGGGTAAGTCAGGGTCAAGTAAAATGCTATTCTGTGGCTTGACAGAACAACTGTCCCATCTTCTAGAGAAACAGGCATTACCAGATTTCATGCATTTGAGATTATAGGACTATCTGTGCATAAATACTTGCAGAAATAAGACTGCTAATTTTCCAAAGAAAATAATCTTCAGTTTCAACTGAACTGATATTACTTATCAGTCAAACAAGTCGTCTCCATTTCCTTAGTGCTAGACTACCTTTAGATAGTAAGTATAACAACTGCTATTCAGGTGAGTGCCTTCAAAACAGCAAGCTGATGAACATACAAGCTCTGTGAACAACTACTGTCTCTGAAGAAATGACAAGTTATAGAAGCTTCTGCTGGTTGCTTTCAATCTTTTGCTACACTATACTTACTGGACTGTCAATCTTCAATTTTTAACTGGTGCTATAAAAATTCTTTGGACAAGTGTAATAAGGTATAATGAATATGCTCCTTTGCCAGCAAGCATAAAATATTTTTCCTTTGGTTTCAGTCTTTTAAAATAGCAAAGTCCATGAAAGGGGGGAGTAAATGTTTCTGGCTTGAGTTTTGCGACACTAGCCACAGCATATTTCTGCACTAGTGTCATTGAGGAAGGAAAGCGTATCTCTGCATTAGAGGGTGGATTTGGGCTGTAATTTAATTTCCACAGCAGCATACCCCAATCAGTTGGAAAGCTTGTAATTAACCTCTTCTCAGGAACCACAAGTAAGCAGAATTTGTTTGAGGAAACTTTGATAATTCAATGTGAGCCGGATTTCCAGCTAAAGTGCCTGTTCCTATGTTCAAGCAAGCATTTTGAAAGTCTTGTTTCCCCAACAAGGCTTTCTGCCTCATCAACTGATCTTGCCACACAAGGAATCTAATACATGCAGACCCTAGGTGTAACACTGTGTTGGTTTCTTGTGCTAAAGGCAAGTTCAGTTTGAAGTGCCAAGTTTGTAGGGTGTGCTTAAACTGATGGAGTTGAACTCGCTTCCTCCTGGGAGCAGAAGGAAAACTTCAAGTACTCAAAGTATAAACTTAATGGCCTTTTAGAATATGTTTTTCTTACTAGTAAGTAAATTAAATCAACACATACAGCAGCAGAGTGGGTGGAAGATAAAGCATCTCTTTTAAATGTAATGCTTTCTAGAATACATGCTCACTCTCAGAAAAGGAAGTGGAAGTGGAGCTTATGGCTGCCTTGAACAGAGAATGGTCACATCTGGGCATGAGTAGCTTCCTGGGTGGATGGTACAGTGTCTCAAGGCTTCCTCTCACAAATGAGGAATATCTGTTTAGCTGCTCTTCTGGCTTATTAAAGGAATGCATAGATTCCTGTTTCTTAGACTTCGTACTACCTGGCCCCTGTGGCAACCATCAAAGTATTCTAGCATGTTTGTGGAGAAGCACAGTCAGGCTTTACTTAAAATTTCTGTCAAAAATAAAATCAGTATTTTTTTATTTTGGGGGTTTGTTTGTTTCCCAATAACAAGCAAAGGAAGACTAAACTTGAGGTACTTCAACATGGAACTGCAGGGTATTTCTATTATGGCTTTTTGTCCATGCTATGGCTGCTTGAAATAATAGAAGTTTACCTTAAGTTTGTCTAATATCCTTCCCTCTCAAAGAGCAAAAAAAGCATTTTGTGCTTAAGCCAACAAACAACAAAATGGGTCATTTAATCCAAAGCTGGACAAAGGCCTTAATGTAAATTCTCCTATCCAGTAAAGACTATATACAAACACATGCAATAAGCATTTAGAAGTTTGTTTTCTAGGCTTAACTTGCCAGACACTTCTCACTTCAACCAACAGCCATGTTTGGTCTTGTCAGAAGCTTATTCTTCTAATTGCCAGCACAAAAGGTTTTAAATCATGTTTTGACAGCTAAAATACTAA